CGTTCCCGCAATCGGTTAGAACACCTGGAGCATACATACATCGCGTATGATCGACGACCAGTATGCAGAAGTCGATGGCCCATCGAAAGGTGAAAGATTCAAGGTTAATAGAGGTGAAACTTTTTTTCACCATATTATATGGACATTCATCTGAAAGGGAACGACGTGTCCCATTGATCTTTACGCGTCAACGCATAGGCACTTAAAACTCTGAACATTCAAATAGCACAACACGATCTGAATATTTCACAAATAATTTTTATATATAATAAATAAATCTTTGAGTAATATATATATTTATATATTACTCAAAGATTTATTTATTGTGTGTTATTACTCATTAATTCAAATATTCACTATTGTTTCTTTCAAACGGGATAATATTTATAAAATCTTATATTAATAACTTTTTTATGTAACGTTTCAAATGGTTGGTTTGCATCTGAATTTGATTAAATCACATATTTAAATTTCTATTGTGCAATAATTTTCTCAGTATTATAATATTTAATTTTAAAAGCGAGATTAATTTTGTAATTTCTCTAAATGTATAGTTTTTTCATAGTAAAAAATCAAATAAATATGTAACTCTTTGAGTAACGATTTAATTAACGATTATTTACTAGTAAAAATGAGTATTCATCGCACGGGATGATCATATGATCCGACGTTGCACAGTCGAAGTCGACGGGAGGCTAGCTAGTCGCGGTCGTTAATTTGTCGCGGCCAAGTTACGATCGTGGAACTTCCTCGTTGGACTTGCATTGCGAGAAACTTACGATGCTACTTGCCGCGGCAAATGTATAATCGCCGATTACCCTAACAAGTACGTAGTGCATCGAGGCGACTAATTAAGCGATTATAGCATCTCGAGTGAGCTAACGAGTGTTAATCCACTAGCGAGTCGTGCCCGTTTGAGCTCACGGGGGTCAATTTACCGCGCGCCTAACCGAGCACGACGATGAGCTTGCTTATCAACGTGTTTGCTGAAAACCTCATTTCGCGGCCAAAGGCACGATACTTTTATCGTTCGATTATGTAAACGCGAACATCTATGCCTCGCAGTTTCGTTCTTTTCATGCGCTCTCGAGAAACATTTTATTTAATTAATAGATATCCATAAATATGTCTGGAATAAAGAAACAATAAGAACTAAATTAAATTTTGAGAGATGCATAAATTAAAATCGTAAGGGGAAAATGAAATTTTATTGAAACGATCCGACACGTCGCAAGATTTCAAGTAGTCACTATTTCATCTGGTCGACTAATTAAGCGATTAATCGCCTACGGATACGATGAAGCATTAATCTGTGATTAATCGCGGTCATATAGGTAATAGACTGTTCCCAGTCCGTGGTAAAATCAAGATTAATAATTCACCGAATCATACATTATAACCCAGTTATTATCAATAAAACTTCACGGTCGCCGCCCGCTTGGGCGTTTTCATTTTAATAGAAATCGATCGACGAGAACTGCGTGAATAAGTAGGAAGTTAAGGAGATGAAAGAGAGAGGTTGAGGATGGAACAGGCGTGTGAGTGCAGAGAAGAGAAAGAGGGGGAGTAGGACAAACGCGACCATGTAATTAGAAATCATGGGGATTTACGGGGCATCGGGCAATAAATCCAAAAAGTAACGGCTAATAGCACGCATATTGACGTATCCATCTGGCTATCGTTCATCTTTCTCACGAGTCTCATCGCGTGCACGCCCCGTATCCGCGACGCGCGCCTCGCGGCTACTCGCTCTCGCTCGGTTCACGCGGCGGGGACGACGAGACGAAAGGATCGACGCCTCCAGAATGAACTACGGGGCTTTCTTCTCAGGGGGGATGAGGAAGAGAGAGAGAGAGAGAGGGAGAATGGTCGCGCCGACCATAAGCATGCTTGATTTACGTTAAAAGCCGAGTCGGGGCCCGCATTGAGTCTTTATCGAGTAGGAGTGAGACGATGATGATGAACGATCGACGATTTGTAGAGGTGATCGTCGAATGCGAAACGGATATGTATCTATATATGTGTACGCGCTCGAACGAATCTGCTGATCATCGTAACCCATATCCCGCGTGCACAAAACGCGCTTTGAGAAGATCGCTTTATGCCGGTAGAAAAATTGCAATCACAATCGTCTTTCAGCAGTTCGTTACGAGCAGTATAGAATCTTATCAGCTGTCGCGTTTCAAATGGAGATTATTTGATAGATTTTTTATTTATTTATTAACTATAAATTCTTAACGTATTCGTGGGAAATTGAAATTCAAATTATGTATATTTCATATCTATTAAAATATTGCGTTAAATTTAAATTAAATAAATACGAATTTATATATATATATTTATATTCTACCACACACATGTATTTAATATCGATTACGATTTGATGCTCTCCATTGAACTCTATCTTGATAATGTTATCATATACTGAAGTATAACAGTAATACTGAATATGTTGCATCGCATGGCGGAGGCGATACAATTCTCCAGCGAGCACAAGCAGTTCGGATTAACGTCTTCATTCCACGAGAAACCCCTTGCAATGGTACGCCGGTAATCGATCGGTTATGGTAATCCGAGCAAGCGCGATCGTTAAAAAAGCTGCGCGCCAACCATGCGGTTACGGTATACCTAGTGCAACCGCCACGTACACGCGGCGATAAGCGGTCGCGATGCGTGCAGTTCGATTAACGCAACAGCGGGCGCGCGATCGGCCGTTCGTCGTGCGTGAAAAAAGAGAAACCTGCGGAAGAAACGCCCACCCGTCTATCTACGATTGCAGCTGATCGCGAAGGCGATGTGCTGATTTCTTTTGACGTGTTTGTATAGGATGATTGGCACTTTATTCATTAGACAGACAACGACTGAGATAAATACCATCATAATACTTGAATTATGAGAAAAAATAACTAATGAATTTATTGTCACGGGCATAAGAAATGCGATTTTTTCGTTAAAAGATTATTATATTTATGTAATTTTTTATGTAATGTTTTTCTTCTGGTATACTAGCAATGCAACGCACATGTTGCTTTGTCACGATGAATTATTACATGATGTATGCGTTGTAAGATTTATGATGTTATATAACGTGTTACAATTTATATAAATAAATATATCGTTATATCTCTGATATATATTAAAATACATGTTACACTTGATATACGTTAAAATTAGAATTTTAATGCATTGGCGAAATAAAATTGTTACTCGGTTAATTTATCATCTCAAAAATTATTTATAATTGTAGGATTGAATGTCATAAATCAAGATGATTGAGCGATAAATAATGATAGTAATGGTGAAACTCATGGAAAATTAGAACGCATTCTATATATAGTTATTACTGTTATTTGTATGAAAAATTAACTGATAACTGCAAATTGAGAAGAGACAGAATTCTGCGTGTGAAATTAATTGCAATTTTCCCAATATTATCAAAGAACTAAATATAAAATTTGCGCTTTTAAAAACTTTAATAATTTTGGATGTTTGCTTTTCATCGTTAGACATTATTATTGTGTTACTGTGTAAATAGCCAGAATGTCGCCGCGAATTATCATTCACGCCTTGGGCAAGTACCTTCGGAAGAG